TTATAGTATGTTATAAAGCATTTGAGTGCTCAAAACTATTATTATACATTGGTCTAAGCACAGTACACAGTATTATTAAGTATGTTGTTAATAGCAATGTATAATTATTGGTATCAGCTCTCCATTCATGATGCACTATAAAGTGTTTTATAATTAGTCATTTATGAACTATGAATATTTCGGAGTGCTTATTCTGTAATGATACAGTACTATAAGCTCAGTGTAACACATTATAGAAAGTGTTACCTAAACTTCTACGAGAAACAAAAAACACACATGAGATTGTTCTCAGAGGAGATATGAAGTTACTGTCTGAAAACAAAGTGTGTGTGTTTGTGTGTATAGAGCGCCATGACGCCCTGTACGTGGTCGGCGCTCTGGAGGAAGCCATGGAGCTGAGAGGGATGCGTTACCACCCCATCGACATCGAGACCTCCGTCATCAGGACGCACAAGAGCATCACAGAGTGGTGAGAAACGGCACGGCGTCATAAATATTTCCATCTGAATTTCTGCACTACAAAGGGCCGATCCTGACATTGAAACAGATTTCTACATTTATTTAGACTTACAGTTAATAAATATTAACTTCAATTTAACTTCAATAACAAAAAAATCTGTGCAACTTTGTTGCTGCTGGAGTCATTTTGGGCTCCAGTTAGATGTTTGAGGTTAATTTAATCAATTATCTGGTCTCGAACCCGGGATACGTCTGGGCTTCTTGCTCTTTATTATTATACTAACTTTTCAAACTCAGTCAAGTGCAGAAATGTTTGTGTGATATTTTTATAAAAAGCCTGAGGAAAATGGATCCTAGAGTTCCAGAAAGGCCTTGTTGAAGGATTTTCTACCGGCATCCTAACAGATTTACATTTTAGTCACAGAAAAATTCCCTTAAATTTCACGACATTACTCACTTCAGGGCCACAAACTGGTGCCATTTGTTGGGATTGCTGCTGGAAATTGAGTCATTTTGAGCTCTTATCCCAGAAACCCCCTGTGAGAACCTGGAGAGAAACGTGTCGTGTTCTTTCTCCTCCTGTGCCTCCAGCGCGGTGTTCACGTGGACCAACCTGCTGGTGGTGGTGGTGGAGCTGGACGGCTCGGAGCAGGAGGCCCTGGACCTGGTCCCCCTGGTCACCAACGTGGTGCTGGAGGAGCACTACCTGATCGTGGGCGTAGTGGTGGTGGTCGACATCGGCGTCATCCCCATCAACTCCCGCGGCGAGAAGCAGCGCATGCACCTGCGCGACGGCTTCCTGGCCGACCAGTTGGACCCAATCTACGTGGCCTACAACATGTAGCGCCCCCTAGCGGCCCACGTGGAGGTGGTTGAAGGATTGTTTGGGAAGATGCAAAGACGCTCTGCTCCTGAGACTGAAAATAAAGAAAAAAACGGAGCCCGAGGCTGAGTTTGTGGCACGAGGGGAGAAGGCAGCTCTTGCTCCCAGGCTGCGTAAAGCCGCCGACTAGCTCCCAGAATCAAACGGTTATATTTAGGCTATTAGCATTCAGGCCGAGGAGGCGAGGTTCGTACTCAGCCTGAGAGAAAGTGCAGTCTCCCCCATCCAGAGCAACAAACTCCCCCATTTGTGCCGATAGTTTACCGAAAAGTTGCAATCGTGCGGCCCGCAGACGGCGGTAGAGGACAATCGTTTGGCGGTGGAGATTCGGGCGTTTAGACTGCGTGTGGCTCACTCTAGTTTCCTGTTAAGTATTTGCTGAAGTCGCTTGGTTTAGGTTTTTAGTTTTTTTGGTTCCAAAAAGTTTAGGCTATTTTTTGAAAAGAATATTTACACAAAAACACAAACTGTGGCAAAAATGATATTTACGTTTTTACGATATCAACCATTACAAAGAGCGAGATATGTTTTGATACGAGGGCGGGGTCCGAGGGGGCGAATCGCAGCTGTTTTAGGTACTACTCGTTTGTTTCATGTTAGCTTGTCGTTGGTTTTATTTTTGTAAGCGTAAGTGTTACTTTTTTTTTTTAATTCAGCATTATTCTCCGAAGCGTCCGTCCCATCTCAGCGGGAAACCAGCGTGCTAACCTTCATAAACTAACAGCTGCAGCCTTTAACTCCGTTTATTATTCCGTACCAACACGCTTCGACTGAAGCAAAACAATACATCAATTCATATCATGTAAGTATGTACAAAAAGAAACTGATTTAATTTATTTTGTTTCTCTTTTAGAAGTATATGACGAGACGTTCAAGAATGTTTTGCTCTTGAATATTTGCTAATATAAAAAAACAAAGCAGCGTTGTATTATCTGGAGTGAAACACATCAAGCATATTATGGAAAATAGAAATATATGATTATAGATTATATTAAAAGATGAGTCGAGGATTCGCACCAGGCAGAAGCAGTTTGACACGCGATGCTTTTTATCTGCACGTTGGTCTGAAATGTTTCAGGCAGTTTGTCGGAGTTGATTCCAGCGTCCACATGAAGAGTTCTGATCCAAAACATCCACTTTTATTAAAGTCTGGAAAGGTTTTCATTTTCCATTAGGAAAGATAAGTTGTTATTTAACATTAGTCATTTGTTCCCTTAACTTACAAATCACTGCCTTAAATTTCTAATTGATGCAGTCAATATTTCTGAGTGATGTATGTAAAATTGCATCATTTTCCCCCTTTGGTTATTCAGAAATCTGACAAAGGACCTTGATTCTAAATAATTTTAACGTGTTTTCAATGAAACAATCTTTCTTCCTGTGTGAAATCTACAGTTTCTACACTTTTAAGTCATGTCAAAGATAATGTGAGGGTCCTTGTTCAATATAACCTATTTTCATTAATCAAGTGGAGAAAAAAATCAGTTTTTGGTGAATAACACCGACTTTAATATGCAGTGTTTTTTAGTGGGCTGACGGTCAAACACAAAGACAAAACTGAGCTCTGGATACGCTTAATGTATACAGATTTTCAATGAGGGACACCTTTTCTATCACTGAGTAAACTAACTGACATACATGTATATTTCATATTATATTAAAACTGTTTAATGAACCCAAACAGTGAACTCAGTAACTGCAGGAAGTTTGTGTAAAACGAGTTATTTGGACGAACTTTATTACCCGTTTACAGAACGTTTTATACAATTCTGTCTGTATTATGTATTTTATTATCATTTTCTTCTTTTCCTTGACCATTGTCCTGTGAAGAAAGGTAAAGTAAATTGTCTAATAGAAGTGAACCAAATGCTGACATATCAGCCTACTGTATGTATTTTTTTTAATTTTCTAGCACATCTTAAAATCAAGGTTAGAAAACTAAATGAGATTGTTTTTAAAGTTTGGATTATTATTTATGATATTAGGACACGGGAACGATCTGAACACAATCTACATTCACAGAGTGTTCACTGTCTGATAAACAGCCTCGTCCTTCATTAGAAAAGTTAGAACAACCAAAGAGCTGATAGAACAATGAGAAGGAAACACAGAATCTGTCCAAAAAGAAGCCCAATAAGTATGTATGATCAAAAAAATTATAAAAATACATAATACAGAGAATTTTATAAAAGGTTCCCTAAAACTTGTTTGTGAAGCAATATTTACAGGAAATAATCAGCTCAAAATGTATCCAAACCTCCAGCAGGTATTGTGTTCACTGTACAGTTTATCTGTTGTTTCATACCGTTATTGTTATAAACTGAATATAATATGAAATATCCATGAAATGTCACTTGGTCAGGGGTTGATAGAAAAAGGTTGGGAACCGAGGCTGTAAGGGAACCGAGGCTGTAAGGGAACATAAAGTCATCCAGGAGCTGTGCTGACATCTAGTGGCCACCAGCAGGAATTAAAACAAACCTATAACAACTGCAGTTTGGATCAGAACTCTTCATAAATCACGTTTATCAGGGAACAAACAGGTTTTCTGACGTTCAAAATGTAATAATAGGAATAGTTTTAGTTTCTCTCCCGACTGGAATAAAACTCCTCAGTTCAAACAGACCAACAGCAGTTACTGGATTACTTTCTTTGAACACCTCCGGCTGGGAAAAGGTGAATCCTCACGGAGACCTCTGAGTGTCTCCCGTACAGGCAGGAGGGCGAGCTGTTACTATTGTAAATATCAGAGTCAGAAGTCCTTCATATTTTTACACGGACCGACCAATCAGGGCTCAAACAGTGATGTCACGACAGGAATAAAGACTGAACCAGGAAGCAGGAGGCGTTCTAACCAGAGACCCTTTAACTCGTTACAGAGCTGCGGAGAGGTCGAAGGTCGCAGGGATACAACGTTCAGTCTGTGATTTGAGGTTGTTGGGCGAGAATGTTCTAGTTTCAACACACGAAAAGAGGAAAAAAAAAACAAAAAAAAACTACACACTTTCACCGTTTGTTTCACCGTTATGAATACTTCCTCCACCACTGGAGGCTCGACTTAAATCTGTTATAGTGACAGTCAAAGTGATTGTTTTTGAAGTTATTCACATTAGTAATGAAGCTTAAAAAAAAAAAAAATTTAATTAATCTAAAAACTCATCATACATAAGAATGTAACTTTGACAAAGATAAATCAGGGACACTGTTCCCAGAGATAGATTTCCTGTAAGCAATTTTCAAGCCCTGATATCAAGTGTCAGTTAATTTGAAAATGATTGGCTGTCTGGAAGGTAGCAAACTTTC